AGTGAGTGGATGGACCTTTATAGGGTTCTGATTGAGATGCTCCAGGGGCTTGTGCAATATAGTGAGCCTTGTGCTTTTTACTATTCTAATGGTGGTGGGTAAATCCTATTATGTGGATGGGGGTGGTGGTGGTGTACATTCTTAATCCCATCAACTCCAGAGCTGTGGCTGAAGATGTTTTGTTTATGAATAAATTGTCTCAGTCTTTCTGAATGGATACAAAATCTGCATTCCAAATGACCAGTCTCTTCTGCTTGAAGCTGTTTTCCTATGCAGGAAGCTCTTTTCCTATGCCTTTAAGAACATGTTTCTCCATTTCTCCTTTTGGGAAATGTAATATTCTGCCTCTTTTTAATATTAAGAATAAATAATATTTTAATCTGGGGAGGTGGGGAGGGCTCCTACAACTGTCCTAGAGTCATTCAAACATTGTGCCAAAGGAATAAGATAGGCTTTGTATCACAGGCTGGGTGTTGCTAGGAAAAAGCTCTAAGAACTTGTGGGAAAGGAGCTGTATTACAGGAGATGCCATATTAATATTCTCTTATTAAACTGAGTTTCCAAGGGCTTTTTACCACTCAGGTTATTATTATTATTCATTCAGCTGCTGTTTTTTCTTATTGCTTTAAAAAAAACCCTCTGTGGTAGTAATAGAAATGCCTGCATAAGTAAAATCAGAGAGATTCAATTCTGAACAGAGATACTTAAGTGTCTGGGCAAAACACATGGTTTACTTAATTTAACCTGTAAAGTTGTTTCTCAAGTTTAGAAACCTTGCCTCTTCCAATCACTTCCAGCATGCAATTCTTACTGAAACAGATTTGTTGAGAGAGAAACCCTTGGACAGACTTGGAGTGAGCAGAGTGCAAGTTGTTGTAGTATTCTTTTACTCAGGATAGATAACATATATATTTTGATGAGGCAAAAGCAATTTGCTACCATTAAAGTGCTGAAGACTAAGACCAAGGTTCACCTAGTAATTGGCAACTTTTTGAAGGCGTACAAAATATTTCTAATTCAAATTGTTTTGAAGTAAAATGCAATTAGTAGCATAGTTACTACAAGATAGCATGACTTCTACATCTGCATTACCTAATAAAACACTTATTTTATGTCCACATTTATTTACAGTCTGTATAACAGTGTCAGCATAGCCTTGGAATTTACATTCTGGAGAAATTCCAAACTGTAGAAGAGGGTTTTTTTTCTGGTCTATTTTGCTATTTTGTGTTGAAAGTGTCCAGAATACCTCAACAAATTTCTTGGCTAGATCTTTACAACAGTTTTCCAAAATAGCTGGTTTATAATATTAGCCTTTGTTAGCATTTGTTACAAGCAAAATGTCTACTTCATTTTCAGTCAGCGTTTCAAAATTAAATGAAAGAAATTGGAAGTTGCTGTAGCAAATTAAATAATGTAAGAAGTAGCCAAAGCAAATTATTTGATGGGAAAGCTCTCCAAGGATGCATATTTAAGTACTAGCCAATGGAAACTATTCCTTGAATTTGATTTGCGAATTGACAAAGCTCTTTTTGTTTCAGCATACCATTAGCTGATACAGATACCTGGAGCAATTGCAGCCCTAGTTAGGTTTTATGAAAAGTAATTAAAATGCTCTTTTCTAATATGACTTGTGTCATTATTTGAGGCATACAATTTAATATTTTTCATGTTTTTATATTCTTGTTTTCGTGATGTTGCAAAGCACCAAGACTGATTGATAGTTATATGGGTGGTATATAAACTAATTAAACAAATGAATAAATATAGCTCTCTTAAGTGTTGACACATACAAAGAGAAAGTACCTTCATGCAGGCATTTATACATGCATAGTCCTGCTTCATAGAGAATGTCCGCTTATATAGGCAGACACCTAGAAGATGAATTCAATAGTGCATGTGATTACTTGGCTCAGACTTATTATTTCTTACATTTTAATTCAATTGCTTTGTATGTACTCTGAGGCATGATACTGTGCATGTTCATTCAGAAATAAATTTTGAATTGAATTGAGTTGAATTAAACTTTATTTGGCCAAGGGTAGCTTGTCTCTGATACAAAAGCACTCAAAAGCAACATAATAATAATGATAATGATAATAATAATACAAAAAGGAAGAGTAGATGATAATAAGAAGGATAAATAATAATACTACAACCATACTATATGGGTACATATACATAGATATTAGATAGCACTATAAGAATGAGGTGTTCAGCAGAATGAGGGTACAGGGCGGGGGGGAGGAACTGTCCCTATGTCTAGTTGTTTTGGCATGCAATGCCCTATAGTGTTGAACTGAGGGAAGGAGTTGTGTCCAGGATAAGGATCTGCTGTTTTCTCAGCCTTCCTTCTGAACTGCACAACATGCAGGTCTTCTATGGAAGGCAGGCTGGTTGAAATTATTCTTTCTGCAGTCTTAACTATCTCTTGGAGTCTGTACCTGGACTGTTTGGTTGATGTACCAAACCAGACAACTATAGAAGTACAAATGACAGGCTCATTAATTCCTCTTATCAACAGCTCCTGGGGAAGTCTCAACTTCCTGAGTTGATGCAGGAAGAACATTATTTTGCCATTTTAATTGGAATTTACACCAATACATAAATTATACCCTTTTAACTGGAATATAGTACAAGACAAATAGACATTCTACATACAAATGCAGCAGGAATATCTTCATAGACATCACTGAGATCTACAATATATATCTGATTTGGCTCAAAGTATTTGCTTTAACATTTGTTTTAGAAAACTATTGTTCCTAATAGCTTTTTTGGATAAAAAGTTCTAATCAAATATGTGTGAATGCTTTAGCTTAGATTACTTTTTTAAAGGACTTTTGGAAGGAGGGTTGGAAGGAAGGAAGGAAGGAAGGAAGGAAGGAAGGAAGGAAGGAAGGAAGGAAGGAAGGAAG